ACCAGTGGGCGTCCTCCCAGAACATGGTGTGCTCCACCGCCGGGCCGGCCGCCAGCTCCTCCCAGCGCACGCGGTAGCACATCACCGTGTCCTTGGGCTTCACCGTCTGGATGAAGAAGTTGAGCGGCCCCCGGCTGGACCGCGTGCAGCTCAGGATCTCGCCCTCCTTGGAGCACGACTCCAGGTCCAGGCTGCCCGAGCGGAAGGCCAGCCGGAACACCACCTCCCCGTGCTGGTTCCTGATGACGAAGCCGTCCGCCCGCAGGTCCATCAGCTCCGTCTTGAGCCGCTCCGCCTTCCGCAGGGACACCGTGTAGTAGCACCAGGCCACCACTGCGGCGATGAACAGCATGAGGCCCAGCAAGATGGCCCCGAGCATGGGCCTCAGCTCCTTGGAGGGCTTCTGCTTCACAGGTGTGACATTTTCAGGCCTTTCTTTGGCAGTACCCTTTGGGGCATTTCCAAGTTTTCCCAGGCGGTGAGTAACCCCACTGTCCATGATTGCTTTGCAGAAACTTTGCTGCTGAATTCTATCACTCCCACCGGTGGACAGAAAATCCAGGATGATGCATGCAGGTGTTCAAAGCCTCCTTTCCAAAGCTTGACCACTCACATCTGCAATGTTATTTCATGAAACAAAGGGCCATAAACACCAAAAAAACCAATTAAATCTTGCTGAGGGCCACAGCTCCTCTACTCCATCTGCAGCCCTGTGGTTCTGGCTCACTTTACTCTCCAGTGGCAGCCTGTTTACTGGCAGCGGGGCTGAGCTTTTCTTGGAGCGGATCTGTGCCAGGATTCCCATGACCCTCTCTTGGCTGCAACCTCACTGCATCCCACAGAGCAAGGAGGAAGGGATGAAAGTCAGACCAGAGCCTGGAGGAGAAAGGGGCCAGAGGAAGTACCTGGTACCTGAGTGTACAGGCTGGACTTCACAAGATGATCTGTTTTTACAGTAATTATAAGCCCTGCTGGATTTCCCTTCCTATCCATATATTCTCTGCTTCAAACATAGGCAGAGAAAGGATGCACTGAGGTCTCCAGTCTCACCTGCTGTTCCCCACCACCCTCTGTGGATGCAGTTGGCGAGTGATGTTTTATGTGCCTACACTTTGTTCCTTTCCTGAGCTGCATGGAGATGTGGGTTTGTGGGGATATGTTTCTCTGGGGCAGCTGGGTAGAGCCTGTCCTGATACCTGTCTCAGAGCCATCACCCCAGGACAGCCCCTCTTGCCCTGGCAGGGGCAAAAGGGAATGTTTCCCTACATCTCTGTCTCTGTTTTTTATTGTAATTCAGTTGTCCTAATTTATTATAATTTGTAGCTCCTGGGCTTATGCCAGGCAAGGCACTACAATGCAATGGGGATGGAAGATATTTTGGTACAGAGCTTAGGTTAAATTGAGGTTGTTGAAAGACCAGGACTATATTAAAACCTTGTTTTGTTGAGGTATGCACAGAAGGTGACACACGTTCCAGCTGTATCAAGCATCACCAAGCACAGCTGAGCATCTACTGCCAACAAAAGCACAGGCAGGTAAAACTGAGGCCAGAGGCTCAAGGCAATGCACTCTGTGCAGCTGGGCTCGCAGCTCCCCTGGCCCCATCCTGGGGTCTGTGTGATCCGCCAGCATGCAAATTTCCAGGAGCAGCCTATATGGAGAGGGGGGGAAAGAGCCAGCTTGCTTCTCCGAGCTGTGCCCATTAATATGTGCTGGGTGTATTTACCCGTGTCACCATGACATCAGTATCTAAGTATACAGAGATGATAAGCCACCCTGAGAGCCATTAAAAATGCCAGAGGTCACCACCTTTGGGATCAATCACAGCAGATGCCCGACTGCCCAAATTAGCTGCCTGGCTAGTTTTTGTAATGCACTCTTGGGGTGAGTGAGGCTTTGCTGAGAAAAAGCTGGAGTGGATAAAAAGTGTTCCCAGGAAAGCCCTGGCTGTGGTAGGGAAGTGAGAGAAGGGAGGTTACTGATGCCCCAAAAAGATGGTGATCCAGGACAGGGGTGGGTTTGGGGAGCAGGCTGGATTACATGAGCTCGGGGCACTCTGGCAGCTCCAAAGTGCTCAAACCTGGCAGCCTCCCCTGTGCTGGCCTGGCTCCTGACACAGCTTTGAATTCAGCTCAGGTGGTTTACACTGAAACCCTTGTGTTTTGGCAAAACAACGTTTTCACTGTGAAGAGATTTTTATGTGCTGAGTCAGTCCTCAGTTGCCGACCTTGGAGTTTTCCTCCTCTTCTTCCTTCCTCCTTTCTCGCTCCCAACCAGCCTTGAGACAGAAGTCTTTAAAATGAGCTGCACCACTTTCCAGGGTGAAAAAACAAGGAAGAGAAAGATAGGCTATCCCCTTTCCTTTTTTTTTTTTTTTTTGTTTGTTTGTTTTGGTTTTGTGTTTGTTTGGTTGGTTGTTGTTGGGTTTTTTTGTTAATATTAACACATTAAAAAAGCCCAAAACACAGGGACATCATGACTCAAAAATCCCTACAAGAATAGCAGACATGAAGAAAGTTTCCAAGCTTTGACTTGGATTTCACTCCCTGATAGTTGCTTTAAATCCCTTGATTTCCCCAGGAACAGATGATCAGTGGCAGAAAACTGGCAAATGAGCAAGCCAGGACTCCTGAGCCAAGCTGTCCTGTCCCCAGGGTCTTTTGGGTTTTCCTAACTCCTGTTATGTCGTGGGATGCCAAGTTGGTATCCCAGCCCTGCCCCTCGCAGAGGAGAGGTGAGATGTGGGTGGTCACAGGGGAGTGCAGGCACTGGCACATCTGGAGGCAGCCCAGCATGAAACTGGGATGCCCAGGATAGATCCCACCAGGGAAAAGGAATTTCTGAAGCTTCCCTTCCACATCCTTCAGGACTTAGGCTCATGAGAGCATTAAACATCTGCAGACCTAGCTGGCAGCCTGATTGTTGCCCAATGGGGATGAGAAGGACTCTTGACAAAGGGCGCACAGAGGTGACCCAGAGCCCAGATCCAGCCCTACCCTTGCTCCATTCACGGGGTTATGGCATCACAGTGTTCGTAACCCGTGATTATTTAACCGGTCCTTGCAAAGCCACTCTGTTCCAGTTATTAACCCACACAGAGTGCAAGTGACTCCAAGCAAGGATGGCATAAATGCTCCCGTAGTGCCCTGAAAGCCAGATGTCCCAGGGGTACAGGCACTGTTGTGTTATATTTGGGCTGGTTGGTCGGGTGCTAATCTGGTATGGATCTGGCACAGTTGGTCCTCCAGGCTGAAAGAAGCCAGGATTCCTCACCCCAAGGATCTAAGCACGCACAGATTAAACATTGACATATCCAGCACCGTGACATGCAGAAAATGAGCCAGGACTTCAGACCCTCTTATAGGTAAACAGAAGCTTCAAGGGTTTCAAGAGATGAAACACATATCAGCCAGCTTGAAGGGCAGCTGCAAACCTAAATCCCTCAGTGCACCTTCCCTCAGAGTCTCCTTCCTCTACACCACATCTGTCCCCAGCAACCCCCCTGATATCTTGGCATATGTAGCAGAAGGCCTCAGTTCAGGTTCCAGCTGTGTGATTCCTGAAACCTGTTTTTCACCAATCCAAGATGTTTACCTGCCTGCTGGTGCAGGACGACCATCACTTAATCAAGGAACCCATCAGGAGACAATTCTTTCTTACAATAAAGGTATAGCTTTCTACATTGAAATTCTTTTTATTATAGGTTATCAAACACTTAGGAGTCACTCTTGGGTGCTCATAGGGAGCATACACAATATGTCCTAGCAGAAAGCACCATAGATAGCTAAACATAATAAGTCATAAACAAACTATTGCCCTGTCAAACTCTGCAAGAACTGATTAATCATTTACCAAGCCCTTTTAGACTGTTCAAAATGGTCCTTTTTAACAGAAAACACGCACAAAGTAGAAAGCAGTTCCCATCAGCTGTCATTTCTTACAGAAGCGTGGCAAACATGGGCGTCATAAGGGGGATTTATTGCTAAAAGGGGCACGGGGGAGATCTGCTCACCATTTTTCCTGTGCATAGAGATGACGTGAGAAAAGAGGTGCCTGCTATCACTGCAGCCAAGGAGGGAGAGCCAGGGTTATCTCATGAGCTGCCACAGATTAGCTACAAAGCCAACAAGGCTTAACACGAGGTGGAAGTGGCTGGGGGATGAATGCAGAGGGTGAGGTGACATTGCCAAGGACACTCTGCAGTCCATGTGGTGTGTGCAAGGGCACCAGCGTCCCTGCCACCGGCACCCAGCACTTACGGAGCACCTGGAACAACACAAGGGGGTGGAGAGGAGGGACATAGTCTGAGTTCCTCTCTTGGAGTGGTGCAGGACCCTGCTCCACCTGGAAATATTGTCCTGAAGGGACAATATCAGCCACGGTGCTGAGTGCACCCGTCACCACAGCTCTGGGCCTTTAGCAATTCCTGATAACTCCAGTGAGACCCACACCAGCTCACACCCACCAGACCGCTCTGAGCAGGCCTGTTTCTGGAAGCCTGATGTGGGGGCCTCTGCCATGCTCCCCGTGGCAGAGGGTTTTTAGCTCACCTCAGTGTGAAGGTGGTTGCACAGACTCTGCTGGCTTCTGCCTGCACGGGGTGCTGCTACAAAGCTGATTACCCCGTGCAAGCCTGACAGGGCCATAAGCCCCCCAGAGTCTTGCAAATCCAGCTCAGGTATAGAGCAAAAATGTTACCTGGATTTTTTCCACATCCAGAGAACTCCAGTCCCTCAATACTGGGAAAGAAATAGAGTTTACTGCACAGATCTTTCAGTCTTAATTGCTATAGGAGCAGGCAGTGGAAGATCCACTCCTGTCCTCTTGAATAGACAAACTCCTCCCTCCAAAGACAGCAGAAAAAACATTGCCAAATCAACTTTTTCCCTATTTCAGAGCTCTCTCTGACTCCTGAGCCTGCACACAGTGTCCATGTGCTGCTGCTAGTGGCCACGGCATCCCGCTGCACGCTGAGTGCCGCTCTGCCCACATCCTTGGGAAGGAGCTCCATCTGCTGAGCCAGTGGCTCAGGCTGAGTCCCAGAGACCACTGCCAGACTTGTCCCGGGGCTGTGGGGTGACTGGTCATCAGGCATTCCCAGGGTAGCACTGAGGTCATCAGACCCTCTTGTGTCAGGATCACTGCTCGTGAGGAACCCCAGGGAGTTTTTTGTGGTGCCTTCCCCTGTTGGAGAAACAAACTGAGCAGAGAGTGATAAGCAAAGCCCAGGTGAGGGGAGAAAAGGTCCTTGTGAGCAGACTGAGGGAAAGTGGAAATACAGGAAAAGGGGGAATAAAAGGATGCTGTCATCTGTCTGCTTTGAATGAAGTCAGTGAGCTGAGCTGGTGTCAAGTGAAGGAAGAAGCCAGAAATTGACTTGGGTCTCAGTTGGGCTTTCTCCCACCTAGACCCAGGCTCAGCTGGAGGCTCTGCTTGGAGAAGGAGCCCCTGGGAGATGGGTGCAATAGCAGATAGATGAAGGAGCTCAGTTCTTGAAGGGGAACTACACTTGATCGCTGTTTTCTTGTGACAATGACCCAAACACTCACCATGAGGGCAGGAGCAGTTAGGTCCTTGAGGGACGCTTCATGCTCTGCATGGGTTAAGGCAACTGCCTGCCAGGGTAAGCGGTCCTGG